CAGAGAGTCAACCTTCTTAGCATTTAAGACACTTAATACAAAAGGATCCCCAAATCTTGTCCACGTGGGGGCGGTTCTTGACGCCCTAAGCAGCTTTTGCCCACCGTAATTTGGATTTGCCTGGTCACGTGACCTCCAAAGAAGTCAGACACATCCAGTCCAGGAGTAAGTTTCATTTGGGGGACAAAATATCTGTAAATATCGTTTGCTTTTCAGGTTAGATTGGGATGCAGGAGTTTGCAGTATTTTTTTTTTTTTTTAACACTGCTGATCACGGAAAAGTATTTATGTAAACATGTAACGGGTGGGGCTTCCAATCAGGGTGACGTCTGGGATGGATTCTCTTGCTGTGATGCAAACATAGTACAATAAAGATTCTCTGACGGAAAGGTACGTTTGTAATCCTGGAGGGAGTCGCTGACTTCTGGCTGCTGTCTCTCTTCCTCCCCCTCCCTCTCATCGTCATTTTTTGGGATTCTTGTTCATTAAATTAGTTAACTGCCTCCCACCTGCTCGCACTGCCAACAGTGACTCCTACCAAGAGAAGTTCCATGCGCCTCAGCAGACCCAGCGGCTGTGGTGAGACGCAGACATGTGACTGCAACCCCAGGGGCTCGGTTTCGGAACAGACTAGAAATCCCTTGTAGTTTCCAGGATGCCCCTGCCTCCACGGGGCCCCGTGAGCGCCTTCCAAATCGGGCCCTGCGGCTGCTGCCCCTGGAGGGGAGGGGACCGCGCAGCCTGGGGGAAGAGCCCTCACCGCGACGGCCTCCGGTTCGCCCTTCCCCGCACAAGTTATCCCACGGCAGAATCCCAGAAATCCAAGAGTTGAGACTCAGGGTGTTTTTGTAGAAGTCGTGCCCTTAGTTAACCACAAATGTTCTACGTTGAGGCGTGACTTAGAGTAAAATTCACCCTTCAAGCGAATGGTTGGAGGGATTTTGACAAGGGTGTATACACTTCTCTGGCCTCCACCGTAATCGGGACGGAACGTTCCCTTGTGCCCCTTCTCGGCCGGAAGCGCCTCGTCTTGGCCACTGCCACACCACGGCTTTGCCTGTCCTGGAGCTTCGTGTGAATGGGGTGCGTCCGTCTGTCCTTCGTGTCCGGCTTCTCCACGAGGCACACTGTGTTGTGATTTATCCATCCGGTGCCCTGGCTTTAAAGCCACAAGAATTGGGGCCAGGGAAGGCTGTGCCCCCCCCCCCCACGCCTCCTGGCTCCGGCCTTGTTGGGGTGGTGAGGATCACATCGAGGGCTCGGCCCAGTAATGGCTCTGTTGGTTTCTGTTTACAGGAACGTGAGAGTGGTCCTCATTCACCTCTGCCGAGACAGAGACAGGGGCCTTAGAATCAGTGTCATTGGCCTCGGTTTTCCAGTTAGCGACCATGCTTCCCTACCCGCTCTCGTTCCTGATCCCCTGGGGGGCTTGGCTCACCAACAGCGGGATGAGCAGTAGAATGGGGCCTCTAATGGGGATCCCAGGAATCGGGCAAGACTCTCAGGGATGAGCGATGCCGGGGCCACCCGGGAAGGGGCAGCCGAGGGGAGGCGTGGCAAGGACCTTAGGGACCACCTAATCCAGGCTTCTCATGCTTGAGCAAGCATCAGAGTCCCGGGGTGGGGAGGAGGGCTGGGGGCAGAGTCTCCCGTGGGACCTGAGAAGTAACTGCTGGCAAGCTCCCAGGTGAGGCTGCCTCCGCCGGTCCCAGATCGCACGTTGAGAACCACCACGGCAAGCCAGCCAGCTCCCTCCTGGAGACCTGCCTCCACCACGTGTAGGAGCAGCTCTCGCACACAGCCCCGGCTGCAGGTGCAGTCAGCAGCCAGAGCGCCCCGGGCCTGGGCCTGCCGGTGGGGCCGCAGCGGTGAGCACGGAGGGGTACCGGCAGGGACTGACAGCCGTCAGCTGGTCAACATCGGCTTCCTCCTCCCCGGCAGCCAGGCTGGGGCTTTCCCGGTTGGAAAAGCAGCCGTCTAGGCCGGAAGCCACAGAGCCTGCAGCTCGGGACCTGGGCTCGGCTCAGGAAGGCCTGTGCCCGTGCCTTGTTCTGATGAGCCGCGGAACAGGCTAAGTCAAGAGCCTCCTCGCTGCCTCCCGGGCCCGGGACCCTGGCGAAGCCCTCCCAGGGCCCAGGTGGGCCGCCTCCCCGCTGCAGCTGCCGCTGGGTGACCTGTTCTTCCCGGGGACTCGGTCGGGCCCTCGGATGGACAGCCGCACATGCCCTCCAGCCGCGGAATGATGAGGCAGGTAACAGGTGTAAGGAAAGTATGGACTTCCCTCCTGCAGACCTTCTCCTGGCGTCACGCGCGCGCGCTGGGGCGCTCCTGAGAATTCGCAGAGCCCCCAGGGGCACCCGCTCGCACCCACCCACCCGCCAGGAAGCCGAGTTCAGGGGGCTGGGGTGACCTGCTCAGGACCGTGCCTTATACGGGGGGGCGCTGAGCTTCACGGAACGAGGAATCCGCTCACTAGAACGGATGTGCAGGGACGGAGCCCGAGGCTCCCAGGCTGTGCACTGAGAGCAGCGTGAACGGCACTCGGGGCTGAGAGTCGTTCTCCCCACACCGCTGTTTGCAGGACACCCACGGGGAGAAGCGTGGGCCGTGCCGGGAGCCCCCCCCCCCACTTCCTCCTTGTCCCTTGGGACAGGCCCCTTCCAGTCTGCAGCACAGCTCAGGCTGAAGTCTCTCCACCCAAAACGCGTCTCCAGCTCGAAGGCCGAACCGCTCAGGCGTGCCTCACCTTCCAGTTCTTCCAACTCCCCGCAGGCCCCTTTCCACTGGCCTAAGTCACCTACGACCCCTTGGGGCTCCGCTACTCTCTGCTGCGACTTGAGCAGCCGGTGAAAGGTAGGACTCCTCCCCTCTTGAGCTGCACCCTCAGCTCCCTGTGCACCTGCCAGGTTCGACCTCCTGCCGGTTCCCTTCTCCCTCCAGCTGGGTGCACACAGCACTCTGGGGTCCTCAGCCTGTCCCTGAGCTCCCCCTGGCCGTCTCCTCTGCGCTCCCGCTCTCCAGCGCCCAGGAGGTTGTCTCCAGCCTGGAGCTGCTCTGAGCCCCTGGTGGCTTGTCCTGCTGTCTCCCGGGCTGTTTTAAAGGCACCTCACGGCCACACGTTCCAAATGAAATTGCCACACCTCTTTGAAGACTCAGTCCAGGCCCAAAACCCGGGCCTGACCCTTGGCCCTTCCCTATCCCCCAACCCATTCCTGCATCCACTTGTCCCCCCACTGCCCCCGCAGGCCCCCCTCACCCACCCCCGGATTACACCACCAGCCCTTGCCTTCCAGCTGGAGGCCTGGCCTCCAGTCTGGCCCCACTTGGCTGCCAGCCCTGTGCCATGCCGCAGCCCAGCGACCTTTTAAAAAGTGCCCGCCTACTGGTTCAGCAGAGACACAAGCCAGCAAGGAGGATACAAGATCAATATAAAAAAGTTAACCACATTTTTATACACTTGTAGCGAACAACTCCAAAGTGAAATTAAAACCGTTCCATTGGGGCGCCTGGTTGGCTCAGTCGGTTAAGCGGCCGACTTCGGCTCAGGTCATGATCTCACGGTCCGTGAGTTCAAGACCCACGTCGGGCTCTGTGCTGACAGCTCGGAGCCTGGAGCCTGTTTCAGATTCTGTGTCTCCCTCTCTCTCTGGCCCTCCCCTGTTCATGCTCTGTCTCTCTCTGTCTCAAAAATAAATATGGGGCGCCTGGGTGGCGCAGTTGGTTAAGCGTCCGACTTCAGCCAGGTCACGATCTCGCGGTCCGTGAGTTCGAGCCCCGCGTCGGGCTCTGGGCCGATGGCTCAGAGCCTGGAGCCTCTTTCCGATTCTGTGTCTCCCTCTCTCTCTGCCCCTCCCCCGTTCATGCTCTGTCTCTCTCTGTCCCAAAAATAAATAAACGTTGAAAAAAAATTTTTTTTTTAAATAAATAGACGTTAAAAAAAAAAAATTAAAAAACTGTTCCATTGACATGGGCGCCTGGGTGGCCCAGCCGGT